GATATAGATATAGATATAGATATAGATATAGATATAGATATATAATATATATTATTATATATATAATTTTATGTCATGCCCTGATGTACAGGGTTTAACATGACTTCCACCCCCTTTCTTGGAAGTGGGAGTGGGGAAATTTCTCTATTTTTATACAGTATATATCCTCTGTGGTATTTTTCAGTTACACTGACCTCCAGTAGGCACAAAGTTTCTCACCAAATACTCTTGAGTAAACACAGTGGTCAGGAGATCAGAAGACCTGACTTTGAATGACTAAAAAACAGAAAGTAAAGAAGTGAAGTTCTTCAAGAACCTGTATTAGGACCAGTGTTTTTTAACATTTCAAAATTTATTTTGATTTAGGGGTAAGGAGTGAACTGGCCAAGTTTGTGGATGATACAAAACTATTCAGAGTAAGGAAATAGAAAGTGATTTTGAAGAGCTCAAAAAGGATTTTTTAAAACTTGATTAATGGTCAACCAAATGGCTAAAGAGATTCAGTTTAACTAACTGTAAAATGTTACACATTGGGCAACAAGCTGTAATATCTCAGATGTACTAATAGGGTTGGAGCTATCTGCAACCAACCAAGAAAAAGATCTTGCAGTCATTGTGATTAGCTCAGTGAAGATGTTGACAGTGTACAACTATGAAAAAGGCAAATTCTGTGCTAGAGATCATTAGGAAAGCGATAGAGAATAAGACTGCCAAATTTGTAATGCCCTTATACAAATCTGTGCTACATCCCCATCTGTAATACTATGTACAGTTCTGGCCACCTTACCTGAAAAAGAATATACAGAGCTAGAAAAAGTGCAGAAGATGACTATCAAAACAAATCGTAGACTCAAACATTTCCTTTAGGAGAAAAGGCTAAAAAGTTTAGACTCTAACTTGGAAAAATAGTGAGTGAGGCATAAAAAACATGCATGGCATGGAGAAAATGGGCATGGAGATTTTTTTTCCCTCCCTCTTTTAAAATATGATATAATGATGCTGATTGGAAGGCAATTTAGAAGAGACAAAAATACTTCCTCACATACAGCATTTTCATTATCAAAAGATGTACTAATGACCACTAACATGGATGGCTTTAAAACAGGATTGGATAAATTTGATCAGCTCCCCACTTTATTAGGTTTTTGGAAATTACTGAAAACAGAGCCACTTGGGAAAGCTTTTGAACTATGAATGTCACCTTCTATTTATTGGTTGAATTTTGGGGGTCTGTTTTTCTGATTTTTAAGCTCTTATATCATAGCTGGTTATTTTTTACCTTGATTTGATTACTCTTTTATACTGTGGCTGTTTTAGCATAATTTGATAAGACTGTAACCTGCCAGGAGTCTTTTGATAGTAGTGGGAAGAATATCAAATAAATAAATAGGTTCAAGGAGGTCAGGTCCATCTTGAAGATGGAAGCCTGGAAGACCAAATGCTGCTTCCGGAGTAGAGGAAGCATGCCTCCAAATACCAGCTTACAATGGCAGCCAGGAGAGGGATGTGTCCATCTTTTGCATGCTCAGACTCATTTTTGTAAGAGAAACATCATGGCAAGATATGTAAAGGGCTATTACTTCTCCAATGCAAATTACCCTTTTCACACCTTAACAACCTCAAGCCATAAACAATATGAAAGTGCCTCTCAAGTGTCAAAGATTCAGACAAAGAGAGGGTGGTCCCACTTTTGGCCACAGAAGACCCAGGAATCTGGTAGCTTCACCTATTACAAACATTGACATAACAGTGTTCTTGGAAGTGTTGACCACATCTAAACAAGTCTTATAAGATAATTGATTCAATACTGATTCTCTGAGACAAGTAATGCTAATAGTGAACGTGGGGACAGCTCAGTAATATCAATTGTCTTTTCTCACTGCTCATTAATTATATGGAATCAACACTCCCACACTTGCTCTGAGATGTTCTGATGAAGTAGGAAGCTGACCGCTGTAGCAGTAATTCCAGGGAAGACTCTCAGTAGTCCAACATTGCTGTTCATGTTGGTATGGATCTCAAATTTCTTCATAGTATTAGCTCTCCATATTGTCTCCCAATTAACTGTGAAAACACACACAAAAAGATCCTTCATTCAAGGAGCATTCTTTTCAGTTATATTCAAAATCTCGTTAATAAAGGATTTGGCATTCTCCCTTACAGGTAACCTGAATAATATTTACGCGCAAATAAGCACCACCTTATATATTCAAGTGACCGTATATAAGACTGAAATCTAGTATCACACAAGTGAGTGGACTTTCAGTCACACAACAAAGTATTTTTTCCTCTCCTCTGAAATTCTCCATGGCCCTGCAAAGCTGCTTTGCACCCCCTCCCCTCCCCCATTTTTTTTTTTCTTGAGCAAATATTGAAGATACGTAGGGACTGCAGGGGAAATACGAACTTTATCTTCATTCCACCAATGAAACCCATTCCATCAATAAAAGTGGCTAGCTAAATACAATTCTCAGGTTTCATTCATCTGGAAAGGAAAAGTAAGTGCAGCATACTACATTTTCTTGCATTCATCTCTTGTAAGGCTCTCTTTCTTCTCATAGGTAGGTAGCATCTAAAATTTACAGTGTAACACAATGCAGAGAGAATTTGCCTTATATTAGTCTGTGAGTATCAATCGTACAGCATGACTCTTAAACAAGGAAAAATCATTTCCCTGAGTTCTGCCCAGTTATAGATCCAATATTGAATCCTGCTCTGGACTCAATTTCTGATAGGAATTGCAGGTTTCAGAAGGCCAATAAGAGATCATATGTATGTACTTTTAATAATAGCAGCAATAATGATGTGAAATACAACTAATCTTCACTTTTTATGCTTCCGAAGAAAGGAAAAGAAAAGAGTTAAAGCCCAAGTTTGGTCTTTTATATTTATTTAATGATAAACATTAAAAGCCATTCTTTACTTCAAAGAATAGTGCAAAATTAAAATGAGGAGCTATTTTAAAAGCGTATGTTCAGAAGAAGATTCTGTGAATCCTAAAATTCTGAATTCTGCAAGAAAAAATATAACTGGTTAACAGAAGCTTATGATCTCAGGAGGAACCTATCGGAGGCAGTTTCATGAGTATGTCTCTTATTAAAGAACAATTCTATCAGTGCAAGGATTTGAAACCTTACCCTGTATCTCTTTTTTGCTCAGTAATTGGGGAAAATAGGCACATACTGAGTTGTGGAAAGTGGACTGCCATTATTATCCATGGAAATGAAGTATCCAGAAATTGATCTGGACAGACACTACACAATGCATTCCGGTTAACAATTCACAAGAGTCTCACCAAATTAGAACTGAAGAAGCCACTGAATTTTTCCACAACACCTGTTTATAACAGCCCAAGTTGAAAACCAAGTATGTCAACACATTCCAAATTGTCTGAATAATAATTTTCAAGTGCTTTGTTATTACAAAGATATGAGGATGCTTGAACATAAAAGATATATTCTGCTTCTCTAATCCCGGTTTCATTTTACGTACCCAGGGCAACGGTACCAACATGTGCCTGGGGGAAGAGTGAAGCAAAGCAAGGCCACCTTGCCAGGCGTCTGCAATGTGACACATATTTCACACATCTTTAAAAGACAGATGTTGTTACTCTTACCACTAAACATCTCCAGAGTTTATAATGCAGTTACTAGTGATTAAATAAAATGGCAATGATTCAATTAAGTGTGATTATACATTGCAAGCCAGATGCCAGCTGTTTAACTAATAATCATGCTTCAGTTCCGTTGCTGAAATGCCAAAACATTCATTATTAATTCTGAAAAATCTCACTATCCATGTCTAGCAGACAATGACATGTAAGACTCGAAGAAAGCCACATCCACAAGATGCACATGCATGCACTGGCCAAGATAATGCCTAGTTAAGGAAGTCTGGAGAGACAGACATTTGCACAGTATCATTATATTTTATAAAGCATCTAGGACTGAACATTGCATAGGGCCATTATATACCTGCAAATAAGTGCAAAATTTAAACAAAAATTAAAATTAAAAATTAAAAAAATCACAAGAACAAGGTTTGTTGGTGCCATTCCAAGTCAGAAATGTTTCTGTAGAGACACAGAGATGTTCTAAGCTAATATTAAAATCATTCTGTCACAGATACAGTGACATTGAATTCTGGGATTCTGGGAGTTGAATTCCATACAGCTTAAAGTTGCCAAGGTTGGGAAACAATGATCTACACTCTTAGCTATGAATAAGCCTGATAAAGCTCAGTGCAGGTTACAGTTAAATATACATACTATATATAGCTCTCAGTGCAAAAACAATTTCATTAATAGGCAGCCATGTCTCCTACTACGTATAACATTTATGCCTCAGAGTAGCACTGTGGATGAGTCACTGGATAAGAGTCTGAATAATTATTGAGAAGAAACAGTCATCTTCCATCAGCTCTCCACCAAGACCAGCTCAGAACTAGGTACAGCTTTGGTGGAAAAGGTGTGTTTCTGGTACTTAGGGGATTCAGCAATCATCAGCAGATACCAATAAACCTCTTAAGCTTAAAGGTAAATTCATTTTAAAGATGACAAGTTGAAAGAAGCCTACTTATTATTCCATGGGGAACCTAATTATTAGCATCTAATGACTCTAGATTCACCAAGAGTATCTGCTAGGAACGCAAGAATGTAAGAGATGGCATAAAGCAGATATCCTGAACCAGAGATGCACTGCCTGTCTAGAAGCATAAAACTTATCATCTTTGACCTCTGTTTGTCAGAAAGAAGCCATATTTCTTGTATGCTCAGAATTGGTACCCTGATGATAGACCATGAAAGGATGGGGCAGAATAGCTGAGATCTAACCATTGCTGAAGCACAACTTATTCTGCAGGGTTCCCTGTCACCTGTTGCTGAAGATTTCCTCTAACATCCTGAACTTACACACTCTGGTCAAGAGATGGATGGGGTTTGTGTGTGTGTGTGTGTGTGTGTGTGTGTGGTGTTGTGTTTTTTTGTTTTTTTTTTTGCAGCCAGAGTGGCATACATTTTTCTGGGTGTTTTTTTTCCTTGTGAAGGTCACAGAGGATGAGGCAAGTAATGTCATGAAGCCACCAGAGTGAATGAGCCCAAAATACCTCAACCGTTTGGCATTGGTTTGGGAGGTTTACAGGGCAAAACAGATACTGTAAAACTTGGCTTAAGACATCAATTTTTCCTTTTAAAATCTTTCTCAATTTTTTTTTAAAATCTTTGGGAGTTAAGGGGTGAAATTACTTAAGCAAATGCCCCTACCCCATTCCCAAGGCTTCAAAATCCTTGTCACTCCAAGGATAGTATGAACTGCAAAACAGTTGCTGGGGGTATTGTCCATGACTGGTCTGCACTAGACAGTTCCTGGTTTCTTTGGTTAGGCAAAACTTTGAGCTAGTTCTGCTACAATACAGAACCTGGAAAATACCTCACAACTGTTGGAGATGTGAGAAAATTACTCTTTACACTTTTCAAACAGAAACTCTGATCTGGCTATTTGTTAATAAAATGGTTTTAATCTTTTTTTTTTTTTTTCCTGGCACAAGACAAAGACCGTACAAGCAACCTGTTCTGACTTGGATAAGCCAAGCATATAAAAGAGGTTTTATTTTATCCAGTGAAAGTAGTCCTTCGCGTTATGTAAATTCAATATAAATCTTATCATAAAAAGCTGAGATAAATATTTAACTGATTTTACTCATGAGAAATAATCCCCAACATGATGTGTGTATGTGCATTTGTGCATGAGAGAGAGAGATTCTATGATCCCAAACACACCAAGCAATGCTAGAAACCATTCCTGCCTAAGATCCCAAAGAGCTACTACTAATCAAATCAGTAGAGTCAGATGTTCTAATATTCTAACTTAGTATAAGGCACCTATGTGAACTCTCAGCATTATGCACAAGACATAGTGATAAAAATTAAATTCATGCACATCTAAACTTGATTTACTATTTTCAAGTGAAGAGATGTTAATTTCTTAATGGTTGTTAAGAATAATGGATATCTAACTATGAATCTGATTCCCAGTTCATTTTCCTATTGCTGCAGAAGGGAACCTTCTGCTGATTGGGAAGGGACATTAATCACACAATCCAGAATCTTCCTGCCCAGGGAATCAAATGTTCTCAAAATCAGAACACTGACAAGCTATGAAACTCCTAGATCTGCTCTAGACACTTTGCTATGAGAACGGATCAGACTGTTTCTTCTCTTGCTGATCTCTCTGCTCTAGGTAGTTGTTGCCAGTGCTTGGACATAAACAAGAAATAATAATTAAAGAAACTCAGACCCTTTTTTAATAGCAAGAAGTGTATTTGAAAACAGAAAAAAAATAAATGATTGCTTGCTTCAGTCTAAGACATAAAACTCAGCTGAGTCCATTCAAAGTTGCAGTTAATGATCCCTAAAACACTAGGGTAAGGGCTGGATAAATGGTCTCCTTGAGAGTTCAATGACCAATATGCTTATTATATCTTGAGTCCTTTTCAGAGCTGGAAAAAGCATTATGAAGTGATCTAGGCCATACTTGCCTAGTCCAGTGACCTGATGGCTAGAGAACATGGGCATTGTAGTCCACACATCAGGGAGGTGTCAGTTTTGGAAAACTGGACTTGCCACTGGCACAGTTGAGTGCTCCAAGTAAAACTATAGTGGTGGGCTGGAATGAACAAGGTTTCTTCAAGAGCCAACAAAGGACTGACATACACTTACACACATTAATGACATGCAATCTGACATCTTAATTGCATTGCCTCTGAGATAATGTCATAACATCATGGCATTTCTGTATTGATTTAGATCTGTGATACAAGCCACTTCATGTTGCACTCAGCAAGTGATGAAATGTAGATGTGGACAATAACGCTTACCCAAGCTGTTTGCCTTTTAGGTTTTTCTTCTTGTATTTTTTGAGTCATCTGAGAACTATTATGTAGTACAATAAGGAATCAGAAAACTATATTAGGCCCACAGAGGTTTGCAAACATTTCCCATCTAGAATATACTTCTTCCTTTCTTATCACATCACTCGGTAGTATGCAGATTGCACTGAAGCAGGAGT